ATGGTTCCTCTATACAGGACCAGGTTATAGGGGATGGAGTTCAGTGTGGTCACCTCTGTACTCACGTTATTGGACACAGACATCTTCATCAGTTTCTTCTGTACACCATAGTACAACACACCTGCTGTCTGATCCAGGGTTACAGCATGCACATTGAATCCTGTGGCTAATGTTGTCAGACCTTGACCATCATATGTCACAGTGAACAGTTTACTGCCATCACACCCATATATCCTCCTTCTCCTTCTGTCAAGAGATATTTGCTTTGGATTACTACCGTACCGTAAGTCAATGATGGCAGTGAAGTTTTCCCCCTGTGTAGACATGCGGCTGATTGAATATTGTGGACTGTAGGTGGCTATGAACACGATGTCCCGATCTTCATCCACTGCCATGCCCAATGTCCGTACAGGTTTTCTTAATACCGTCACGCGATTTGTATCCAGGGTAGATGACACTATCTTACCAGGGTTGCCTAACCCTATCAGGAGTTGTTTTGTCTTTGCTATGTAGGCAAGGGAAGTCACATCTTTCATGGTGTGGTAAGGATAGACACTGAGGGTGTTACTGTGAATGTTGAGTTGACGGAACTGAAGTGGGGTAAATGACCCTAGTGCAGCTAATAAAATCCGACCTTTTTTTCTCCTCTGGCGTGGGTGTCGTTGTTGACACAGATGTCCTGGAGGTTGACGTGACATTTACAGGAGCGGGGGAAGAAGGAGACTCAGTGACATTTGTTGTCAGTTTTGACATTTGTGACTGACACGTCTCCTTCAATGCCGTGATTTGCTTCAGGTCAGCTTTCAGATTGGCAATGGTAACATCGGCCTTCTGTAGGTCTATTGCCATTCTGTGCTTCTCTCTGACACATATGTCACTGGAGTTCTCTTCATTCAACACATTTGCTTTCTTGACGAGAGATTCGTGAAACATGGTGGTCTTGTTCTGGAAGTCTCTGAAGGCTCTAGAAACATGGTGCAACTGCCTCTCTAGCTGATGGTAGCCCTCTTTCAGATGCCGCACTTCAGAGACAACCTGACTTTTTTACCATGTCTTGAAGAGAATCTCCTTGTAGAAAATCCGCCATGGCTTTTCTCACTTCATCCCGTATGTTTTCCTTTAACTCGGCTCTCAAGGATGTCTTAGTGACATCAATACCATTTACTATCCTTTTCTCCAAGCGGATCATATCAACCTTGTTATCAAGCATTTCCTCCTGAAATTTGTCCAATCTTTGTATGATAGATCCAATGCTGTCCTGGCTTCTACAAAAACAGATCAAGGAGGTGCATGTCAGCAACCAGGAGAGGCACTTCGACATGGCCATCTTTACAAATGTACAGATTCCTTTAAATGTCCTTGCCCGTTGATGTGATGCGTACCCAGCGGTGTGGTTCGGCGTTTTCTTCTCTGAATTGGCTGACGTGAAGTTTATATAAACATTTGCTGTCTCATGACTATGTATTCAGTGTTTGAGGTCACCGCTGGTTACCTTCTCATATGCGAGAACACTCACGTGTCTCGATTTACCTGATGTAGCAAACAACTCTAATATTAGTGATTTAAGTGTTTCGCAGTATATAGTCCAATATTGTCCCGCGCATGTACTGTGGTCTGACGAAACATTAGGCTATTTTATTATCTGTATCACCCTTGAAGACCCGGGTTAGATGTGGTCTTCAGTAACCGATCTTGTTATACGAGATGACTAACGGGATCGGATGGTCAGGCTCCCTGACTTGGTTGAAACATGTCATCGTATCCCAATTGTGTAGATTCATGCTCATGATGTTGATCATTGGATTGACTTGTTTATCTACAAACTGGCGTCATATAGCTTGAATATTGCTGGGTGGCTGAGTGAGCTACACTCCCTCACTCATTTCCTCATTCCAATTTGTCCAATCTTTGTATGATAGACCCAATACTGTCCTGGCATCTACAAAAACAGATCAAGGAGGTGCATGTCAGCAACAAGGAGAGGCACTTCAACATGGTCATCTTTACAGATGTAAAGAATCCTTTCAGATGTCCTTGTCCGTTAGAATGATGTGAACGTGTACCCAGCGGTTAGGTTCTGCGTTTTCTTCTACTAATTGGCTGACGTGAATTTAAATACACATTTGCTGCCTCATGACTATATATTCAGTGTTGCAGGTCACCTGTGGTTACCTTCTCATATGCGAGAACACTCACTTGTCTTGATTTACCTGGTCGAGCATACAGCTCTACTATTAGTGATATGAGTGTGTCGCAGTATATAGTCCAATATTGTCGCGTACATGTACTGTGGTCTGACGAAACATTAGGCTGTTTTATTATTTCAGTCACCCATGAACATCCGGGTTAGATTTGGTCTTCAGCAACCTATGCTTGTTGCCAGAGGCGACTTACAGGATCGGATCGTCAGGCTCACTGACTTGATTGAAACATGTCATTATATCCCAGTTGCGTAGATTTATGCTCATGGTGTTGATCACTGGATTGTCTGGTCAAGATTTGATCATTTACGGACACTTATTTATTAAGTGTAACGTAAAACTAAATTCACTCTCAATCAGTCTATCACTGTGCCTTCTTAGTCTTATTAGGGTTGGCAATTTATATACAGTATATGGATAATAGAGGTTGCTAATCTTTAATAAGATATCCATCAATAATTGATAAGAATCGGTAAAGTATCCTTGATAAAAAATGACAGTATGTTTGTTGTATCTGTATGTTTGTTCTATCTTTATGTTTGCTGTATCTGTATTTTGATATATCTGTATGTTTGTTATATCCGTATGGCTGTCTTGTCGGTATGTTTGCTGTATCTGTATGTTTGTTGTATCTCTATGCACGTTGTATCTGTATGTTTGTTATATATCTGTATGTATGTTGTATATGTATGTTTGTTGTATCTGTATGCGTGTTGTATCTGTATGTTTGTTATATCTGTATGTTTGTTGCATCTGTATGTTTGTTGTATATGTATGTTTGTATATCTGTATTTTGGTTGTATCTATATGCTTGTTGAAATTGTATGTTTGTTGAATCTTTGTGTTTGTTATATATGAATGTTTGCTGTATCTGTATGGTTGAATGAAAGAACGAATGAACGAAAGAACGGACATACGGATGGACGGACGGATGGATCGATGGATATTGTTTAAACGTGACTGACTTCCAATAGAAAAGGGGCGGTGCGGCAGCCAAGTGGTTAAAGCGTTCGCTCCTCAAGACTCGGACTCTATTCCCCACATGGGTATAATGTGTGAAGTCCATTTCTGGTGTCCCTCGCGGTGATATTACTGAAATATTGCTAGAAGCGGCGTAAAACCATACTCACTCACTCACTCCAATAGAAAGGCACATATCTGATACATAACTCACAACAGCCACAGGTTGAACTATGACTGAGTCCAGAAATGAACGGTGCTCATAATATCGGCCACTTGATTTCCAGACTCGATTATTTATAGGATTCATCAGCAAAGAAACACAACCATCGTTTTGATTTGTAAAAAGAATCAAAAGAACTCTCACCGTATGTAATTGACATAAAATAGTATGAAACCCATTCGGGAAAATCAGTTTCTCTTCAGTCAAGAAACATTCATAGGAGCGAATAGAACTACTGATTGAGTTGACTGGACCAAAGCTAATGGCATAGGTCATACAAGTGTTATGTTGAAAACAAACATGTTCCTATGTATACTCGGGGTAATAGGACAGCCTTTCTAGAGGTTAAATCGTCCGCTCCTCATGCCGAAAATCCTAGTTGGATGCCCCGCATTGCAACAAAGTATGAAGCCCATTTCTGGTGTCTCCCGCCGTGATATTGCTGGAATGTCGCTAACAGCGGTGTAAAACTAAACTCACTTACAAACTCACTCAATGTATATTGATATTCGTAATTAATACTGTACGCATGTACACAAATAACATGGCACAATTGTGTGGTACGTTTTTTTACCTAAGTTACGTTTGCCAAGGGAACAAACAGGTGAACCACTATATACCGTGACAGGTTCAGTAAATGTAACTCCAGAGAACTATTACAAAAGAAGTTTATCTGAAGAAATCTCATGGAAAACAAGCCGTTTTTAGGTGCGGGCCAAGGTATGTACGTCTCGATAATGTTTTAACAGCACACAAAGAATGTAACCTTTAATCAAACAACTGATAAACGGCTGACGTTTTGGTCCTGACTGATATGAATCCATAATATTATATGTATGAAAAACACACGCTTGAACCAACTATGTACATGTGGAGGTTTGAGACAGTTTGAATGCAAGATGTCAAGGTAAGTCAGTATTTCGGACAACTGGTTATGAAACAATTAGGAAAATTATGCACATGTTTAAGAAAACTGGGCTTTTCATTTTTACGAAGAAAGAATATACATGCTTTCTGATGAGAATTTCGTTAAATAAGTTGGTTAAACGCAGGAATATATATACTAATTCGTAATATTATCTAAGCTTCAGTAAAAGCTGCAATGAATATTGTTTTCTGTGTTTAAAAAACGTGTCGTGGACCATTATTTGATGTGATGTCATCATCTATTGTGACGTCATCAATATTACGTCACATAAGGGCACTAATGGCATGTGCGTAACGTTAATGATAGTGATCGAAGCGTGAAATCACTGTTTCACATGTTCGTTTTATCTTTTATCCTCTGGTTTGTCGTGAACGTATTGTTCATAAACGTTAATAAGAATATATGTCAACTTTATTCAAATATAACCAAAAAAATGAAGAATTATTTCTCGTGTATTCGTAAGTATTAATAGCGTGTTTCCTTGATCATCGAGTGTTTTACATCACACGAAAAGGTATTTTTGTCCATCTCAAACACGTCGAGTAAGACGTGCGGCGAGATTGTATTATGCCTTTTTATGATTTTTAATTTAATTCTTGAGGCCATTTTCGAGATATTTCGAATATCTGTTTTCACACTTCAGCATATATATTGCACATATTGAATTGTTTTTCATTGCTAGGTATATCTACATAGTCCTTGTGCTGCTTCCAACTGTTCGGTGTCAACCCAATGACCCAGACGCCACACCAGAGACTGTTGCTCTGTACAATCGCCTTAAAGAAATGGCAGTCAATCCAAACACTATCATGTTTGGCCAAAGTAGTTCCACATGGTTTGGGGCCACTGGAGGACACGCCCCTTATGACGTCACGACCAATACCAGCAATCGTGGGTGGACTTTCACCGTATGTCAGCTACGTAAATGTTCCTGTTACTTTCCCGTTAAAGAGAAACTTCGATCCTTGACATAGCTCATTTTGCGTTTATGAGATTATTATAAATTTCTAAGAGGTAGTATCATCAGTATAGGAGAATGATTCATAAATGAATGTTTGTGATTCAGTTGAAATTGTGCAATTGTCCCTAGATAGTTAGATATCTTTAGTGTTATACGTACAGGCTCAAATGACTCATACAGGTCAAAAGATACTTTGTTTTGTTGACCGCCTCCGTGGTGTAGTGGTTAGAGCGTCCGCCCGGAGAGCGGAAGGTCGCGGGTTCGATCCCCAACCGCGTCATACCAAAAGACGTTAAAATATGGTACTTGTTGGTCCCTGCCTGGCGCTCGGCATTAATGGGTACAACAAGGACTGGTCGGCTCGGAGTCAGTATAATGTGTCTGAGTGGGGTATTCATGCTTCTCAGTGGGCTAGCACTATAAAATCAGCTTCAGTCTGGGCTAGTACAAGCAGCCGCACATACACATACACACGCATGCACGTCGTCATATGAGTGAAATATTCTCAAGCACGACGATAAACCCAATTTCACCTCACCTCACCTCACCTTTGTGTTGTTTCTTGTTTAACGTCGCACTCAGAAATATCACAGCAACGTGACACCTTTCAGTAAATCATAGAATCAGAAGTAGACAATCCAGCAATTGGGATACGATGACATGTGTCAACCAGGTCAGCGAGCTTGACCACCCGATCCCTTTAGTCAGGTGTGACGGCAAAGTTTAAACCTGTTTCGTATGATTAACTAATCTGTCGTGTCATAGGGTGATCTTCAACATATTTTTAGAAGTAAATCGTATTCAAACCGCTCACATGACAGATATGATGCAGTGATAAATAATTGGAAGTCCTTTAATCTGTTTTTAATAGTGGGGCGGTGTGGTACCCTAAAGGATAAAGCATCTGCTCGACACGCCGAAGACCCGGGTTCAATTCCCCAAGTGGGTACAATGTGTGAACCCCATTTCTGGTGTCCCCTGCCGTGATATTGCTTGAATACTGCTAAAAGCGGCGTAAAACCATACTCACCCAGTCAGTCACTCTTTTTGATACCCGTGAAGGTCTTTGTTAGAATGTGCCTTCAGTAACCCATGCTTGTCGTAAGAGGCGACTAACAGGATCGGGTGGTCAGGCTCGCTGACTTGGTTAACACATGTCGTCGGTTCCCAATTGCTCAGATCTATGCTCATACTGTTGATCACTGGATTGTCTGGTCCAGACCTAATTATTTACAGGCCGCCGCCATATAGCTGGAATATTGCTGAGTGCTGCTCAAAACTAAACTCACTCACTCCCTTTTTGATAGTATATATTTCATTCCAGCTGGCATATCAGTTGGATGGGACCTAGTCCCCCTTGGCGTTAGTCGAGGTCCAAACAAGGCCAGGATTACTGTTAAAGTATTCACAATGACGACATGAGATATGTTAGGTCTGTGCAGCAGTCCGAAATATCACAGATAGATCATGGTAGTTTGTAAATAATCTCCCCTGACCGAAGAGTGATTGAGTTGGGTTTTACGCCGGTGTGGTAGCCTAGTAGTTGAAACGTCCTTTTAGACTGAGACTAATATAAGTAAAACTAGATACTTTTATCCTAGATAATGACAGTTATCGATATGATGTGGGCGGTGGGGTAGCCTAGCGGTTAAAGCGTTCGATCGTCACGCCGAGACCCGGATTCCATTCCCCACATGGTTAAGTGTGTGAGGCCCGTTTCTGGTGTCGCCAGCCGTGATACTGCTGAAATATTGCTTGGAAGGTCGTAAAACTAAACTCACTAAGTCTTACTTACTTTAATATACATGTTTAGTTTAATGTCCTTGTATTCACGATTGCATAGTCTCGGAAAGACTCCACGTTAACCATGACTGGCTAAATACAAAGATAAAACGATAGATCATGTATTTGTTCATGTTGTTCTGCAGGTCGACCAAGCCCTCGAGAACTACCCGGATGAGTTATCAGACGTGAAGGGTGTCACAGGTCAATACCCCGCCATCTTTGACCTTGGGATGTGGCAGCTGACCCCAAACAGAACCATCGTCCTGTCATACCTCCTGAAGAAAGCCCACAGCAGAGGAATCATCACCACATTGTGTCAGCACTTGTACAACCCAGTCACTGGCGGCAGTCCATGGGTTGACAAAGACCCTGGCAACGTCACTCACACCGTCAGACGTCTTCTTCCAGGGGGAGACACGAACTGGAAGTACAGGGACAACCTGGACAAGATCACCGAGCTGGTCCTCAATCTGAAGGACGAAGAAGGAAAACTGATTCCTGTTCTCTTTCGTCCTCTTCATGAACTGAACGGAGACTGGTTCTGGTGGGGGTATGGTAACAGGGCGAACAATACCTTACAAGATCTGAAGTCCTTCTACAAGTACATCGTCACCTATCTCCGAGATGTTAAGCATGTCCACAACATCCTGTATGTCATCAGTCCAGACAAGTTCCAATCCAAGGATGACTATCTTCAATTTTACCCAGGGGATGATTATGTTGACATCATGGGAACTGATTTCTATTATAAATCTTCAAACGACACCACATCCGATTTCCACAGAAGTTTAACAGATCTGGTGGAGATGGCAGAGTCCAGAAACAAAATTCCAACACTTTCCGAATGTGGAATGGCAAATAATGGGATCAGTACTGATCTCAACTTCTGGAATGACAAGATCCTTGATATCATCAAGGCCAGTATGACGACAAGAAGAATTGCCTACATCCTTACCTGGGCCAATCAGTGTACTGAGAATACATGTCAGCTGTGGACACCATACAAGGGACATCCAGCTGAACATGACTTCAGGAACAATTTCTTTAATGACCCTGTTACAGTTTTTGCAGGCGGCATGAACTGACGACATGGAAAATACACAATTAAATTTCCAAACATTGATTGTTTAGTTTGAATAAAGTCAGCGGGTCGTTTGAGAGGATGTTTTCATTGTCTTTCAGTATAACACACGTAATAGGAAGTGTGGTTTTAATTTTCCGCCGCTTTTAGCAATATTAAAGTATTATCACGGCGGAACTGGGCTTCACACTTTGTACTAATTTGGGGAATGGAACATCTGGTCGAACCGTGACGGGCGAACGCTTTAACCACTTAGGACTAGGCTAGCCCACACGCAGTAGAGGCCCTGTGGGTGGTGTCACAGCCTTTATGTGTTTACACTTCCTTTTACTTACACGATGTTGTTGATAATGCTCTGTTTATATGTTTGCTTGTTTAACACTGAATAGGGCGATATCCCAGCTACATACAGCGGTCTTGTAAATAACACATTATGCAATTCTAACCAATATTTAAATTAGATGGTCTTACGTGCTATCTCAGTGAGTGAGTTAAAATTAATAGTCACATCGGCAATATTTCAGCCATATTGTGACTTAAAAAGTTATAAATTAATAATAAACACAAATACCTCATTAAACACCTGTCGACGAAGGACAGTAAAACAACAAGATTATCACAGGAATAAATTTAAGACTAGTAATTAAATGTAAAATATTTTACCTATAAATGACAATACAATATAAAAACAGGCTATAGATTGCCAACAACTGAAGGTAGATCACCATACTAGGGGCCATGCTTCCTGCTTCGGCCCTAGCTGGATTTACATCATCCCTTCAGCTGTCAGCAATTTAGATACATCTAGCCATACATTAAAAATACACATATTCTACGATTAAAAAAATGGAAAGTTTCAAATTACCTTGAAGGTTTTGCGACTTACGTACCCTCTCAGGACAATAATTTTACAGTACTTTAACCCACCTCGAGGATACAGCCACTAACAATCTTAGTTACTAATTCAAACTTCTAATCATAAAATATTTATCTATTTACAAATCATTTAACAAATCTAATTCCTTAAAAAATGCAATAATTAAATGAGAACTGATATTATTATAAAGATCCATCATAGTTTGTGATTTAAAATAGTTATCCCTTGTGATGGGTTTATTCAACACAGTCAAGCAAGACATGCTTGACCGTGATTCTTTCATCACAAGGGATGCAAAACGGAGGATCCTCACCTATTAACAGGTATTAATGTGTATATCTAGTATGGCCAATACGACATCGTCGTATGATGACCTCTTCATATCTGGACTGACAACCCAAGTAGGTATAACGGATATAAGGTTTTATTGCATGTATTTTTTTTAAGTCCCACTTGGGTGTCCCACTTCTTCTGCATCAGATCACGGATATAAGATCTAAAAGCAGCTTTGTAATCAGAGCATGGGATCAGAAGTGGTGTCACAGATTTGTTGAGTGCTGCCTTGGCAGCAAGATCGGCCATTGTGCTCCCAGAAATGCCAACGTGGCTGGGTAGCCAACAAAAAGACGATGTCGTATTGGCCAGTAGCAAGCTCATTATATAATTCAATAACTTCTATTAAAAGTGGATGTTTACAAGAAAGATTTTTAATAGCCCGAAGGCAAGAAAGAGAGTCAGAAAAGATTATATATTGTTTATGTTTAGGGTGTCTTTGAATATATTTAAGAGCTGTTAATATGGCGTTTGCTTCGGCTGTAAAAATAGAGCTGTTATCCGGTATTCGTGAAGATATTGTTCTTAATCCAATGGCAGTGGCACAAGCTACTGCGCCACCATCCTTGGATCCATCTGTAAATAAGAACTTACATGTATTATATTTACTTTTTAGTAGATTATATTCGTATTTATATTGTAATTCATTAGTTTGGATTTTTTAAACGTTGTCAGTGTTTGGTCAACTTGTGGCCTCACTAATTGCCAAGGAGGAGAAGAAAGAAGACGGGAATGGGATATATTTTGTAGCTCAATGCCAGCAGCAGAAAGGAAAGGTTTGATTCTTAGTCCCAGAGGTGAAACAAGAGAAGACTTTTTGTTGTACAGATCCTCATAAAGAGGATTTAAAAGACAGTTAAATACTCTTTAGAGAATAGTTTAGTTGTATATTGTAAAGATAATTTTATACGGCGTTGTGTAAGAGATGGTTCATTGGCTTTAAGATAGTGACTGTCAACAGAATTTCTGAAAGACCCAAGACAGAGTCAAAGGCCTTGGTGGTGTACAGAATCTAATAGCTTAAAGTTGCTTTTGCAGGCTCCTCCATATAAGATGGAGCCATAATCAAGCTTCGAGCGGACCAGTGATCTATATAGGTGAAGGAGGGTAGGTTGATCCCCTCGCCATTTTGAGTTCGAAACAACTTTTAATAAATCCAGTGCCTTCAAGCATTTATTTTTTAGGTATTTATTATGCGGAAGAAAAGTTAAATGGGAGTCGAAAATTATAACCAAGAACTTGGCCTCCTTGACAACTTTGATGCGAGTGCCATTTAAAAATAGTTCTGGGTCTTTATGCGGCTTATATTTTCTGCAGAAGTGTAGACAATTAGTTTTAGACTTGGAAAATTTAAAGACATTGTCGAGACACCCTTTATGTATTTGTTTAAGCACAACTGCAGTTCAGTAGTATGCATATGTTTACCACGACAAGAAATATTAAAATCATCTACGAAAAGTGATCCATCAATTGAATCCTTTAAAACCTTGGATAAACTGTTGATCTTAATACTAAACAATGTGACAGACCAAATACTGCCTTGTGGGACACCCTGATCCTGATTGTAATGGTCTGAGAGGGTTGAACCCACTCGGAAGTGAAATTGCCTGTCTATTAAAATCTGTGAGGTAAAAAGAGGTAAACGACGCCTCAAACAAAAGGCATGTAAATCCTTCAAAAGGCCATGCGTCCAGGTGGTATCGTATTCTTTCTCGAGATCAAAGAATATAGAGACTGCATGTTGTTTATTTACTATAGCATTTCATGGTTTTACAGACACAACTCGTTAACGAGATTGATCTGTAATTCGACGGATCAGTATGATCCCGGCCATGCTTTGGTATGGGGACTACAATGGTATTAAGCCACGAAGTTAGGAAATTCCCTGAAGTCCATATTGTATCAAACATAAATATAAGTGTTTCCAAACATGGCTCAGGTAAATGCTTCGAAAGCTGATAATATATATTGTCAGCCCCTGTTGCTGTATCATGAGCTTGCTCAAGGGCGATATGGAACTCATGTAACGAAAATAGTTCGTTATAGTCTTCACCATTGTCCGAGTTGAAATTAGTTCTTTTCTTCTCCTGTTGTTTCTGGTATTTCTGAAACTCAAGGACAAAATCGGATGAAGGCGAATGCTTGGCAAGATTTTCACCAAGCTTATTGGCAATGTCAGCTTTATCCTTCAATACATTGTCACCATCCTTCAGATAGTAGACAGTAGATTTGGAACCTTTGCCCTTTATCCTTTGTATCATGTTCCACGCCGTTGACATCGGTGTACGGGAATCATCAACATGAACATTAAGCAATTGGGATACGATGACATATTTCGCCTCTTACGTCAAGCATGGGTTCCTGAAGACCAATCTACTCACGTTTTGAATTGATACACGTTTTGGTTAACACTGCGTGGAATGGTGTGTTAGCTTATATGAATACACTGTGTATGACACAACTATTTCATGGACAAGAATCCCTTGTAAAGACGTCCCAGTACCGCGGTGCATCTGAAACGGCATTACAAAACATTGGTCGTTGTCCATATTAATTGTCACGTATTGGTGTTTTCAAAATAAATGGCGCAAAATCATAATCGCGTCTCAGACTTTAAGAACGCGTGAACAGTGACTGTCAAGGTTTAGTCACACAATCTGATCTGGATATTTCTCCACTGCAGACAACTAGGCCACCAAGATATCTAATGTGTGGCGTTGCATTGGTATTTAATAGGCTTGACTATCGTCATCTCAGACAGCCCGACGGCAGCCAGTGTTGTTCCAGACATGACGAGGTGAGACTAATTTGAAAACTGCATGTTTGTAATTTGAAGTTGTAGCAGTTTTAGGTTTAACCAGTAGACACTGAAATTATAATTCAGAAGTATATTGCAGTTACATTTTTATACAGTATACATGGATTGGCGAAAACATATGCGTGACAGATCAACCACATGGGCCACAAGAACTATGATCAAGGAACTACTTTAACTACCCATCGTGACTCATCTTGGTAGAAGGAGTGAATGAGTTAAGATTTATAGTCACATCGGCAATAATTCAACCATATCGTGACTTTAACAAATTACAGATTCATAATAAGTGCAAAGAAAGTATGAAAAACCTGTCGACGAAGGACAGTGAAATAACTAATAACTAGATTATCACAGATAGAGATGTAAAACTAGCGTGTAACTCTAGAATGAATCAAATTTATGAACAATTCATATATATATATATATATATTATTTCTATATATTGACTTTATATATAAAAACGTGCTGGAGATCACCAGCAACTGAAGGTTGATCACCATACTAGGGACCATGGGGACTTACAGTACCTTTGCTACCTGCATGGACCCTAGCTGGATTTATACCATCCCTTCAGCCACTGGTGATTGTTGTGGAATTTAGCCATTATTTAAACATCATGTAAACAACAAATATTCTACGATTAACATTTTGTAGGTCGAAATTGACTTTGAAAGTTTTGGGACTTACGAATCCTCCCAGGAGGTCTCATATTGGTAGATTTTTAACCGTGAATCTATTAAGGAAGGAAAAACAATATATGGTTGAACAACGTTCAACCATAGGTTCCAACACTGTTATAAGCAAGTGATGTTTATGCATATCTTGTTATGCTTCCGTACTGACCCAACTTCTTTAAGGCATCTGAAAAATGTTACAACTGTTTCTAATAAAACACAAGCCATACACCACCGATCCCTTGAACAAACCGAAAGCAGCTAATTGTCACGAACAATATTTGAATATTTTCCCGGCCGGATATGACACAATCACATTTTCGTGAACATCTGGTATCACTGTTTGATTGTGATTCATAACCCGTGAAGATTCGGGTAACAATTGGTCTTCAGTAACCCATGCTTGTTGTAAGAGGCGACTAACGGGATCGGGTAGTCAGGCTTGCTGACTTGTTTCACGCATGTCATCATATCCCAGTTGTGCAGATCGATGCTCATGCTTTTGATCACTGGATCTGGTACATACTCGATTATTTACAGACTGCCGCCGTGATCGTCCAATTGACTATGTGTTAGGCAGAGATTTCTCATGTATATGAAAAAGGTTTTGCCGCTTTTATTAGCAATTTCAACTGAAACCATCTTTTCTGGAGAGGTAGGACATATGTATTTGTTCTTCTGTCATGTTCTGGGGACAACACTTGTCCTGGCACCATGGTGTTTGAGTATCTTTGCTTTTCCAGACACTTCCTTTCTGTAATTATTCTCCTGGGGCCTGCCATGTGTGGTCCAGTAGATCAGAAGGCTACGCGGGAGACGAGGAACCTATTCAACAACATGAAAGATCTTGCTCGAAACTCCTCTAAAGTGATGTTTGGTCACCATGAAGACACGTGGCTTGGCGCACAGGGTGGTCATCCGCCGTATTTGGTGCAGACTCTCACTCATGACGGAAACATACAGGCCTACATATTTTGGGCAAGTTAAACATCATTTCACATTTGACCTCTGTTACGCGATACTTTTGTGTCAAATGAATCATTCTTACAAAAGAATCATGCATGTGTATTTTGTTGTCAGTCGATTTTGAATTGGATATTATACGAGCTTTGAGTTGATCAAATTGTCAAATATGAACCATAATCTTGATGAACTCGTTGAAATGACGTTAGTCCTTCACCACTTTTGAAACATAAATCGTTTCAACAGATGGAGAACAAGGGGTTGGAGAGGCCGTTTTTACCATAAAAGGTTCATTCTGTGATGATGATATATATATTTTAGGCACAACAAGTCAGAGATGGGGATCCGGATGAACTCTCCGATACAAAAGGAGTTACTGGACAGTATCCTGCAGTATCTGGTTTTGACTTTGCTCAGTTCACTGATGAACATATTATCACCCTTACCTATTTGGCAAAGCTTGCTTATGCTCGGGGGCAAATAGTCACGATATCGCAGCATCTCAACAACCCCGTGACTGGGGGTTCCCCTTGGGTCAGCAAGGATAATGGAGACGTTCTTCACACCGTCAGACGGATCCTTCCAGGTGGGGACAAGAACCACATCTATAAAGAGAATCTGGACAAGATTGCCGACTGGGCTCTCAACTTCACTGACTCAAGCGGCAAACCAATTCCTTTTGTTTTCCGCATCCTTCATGAGCTAAATGGTGGATGGTTTTGGTGGGGACTTTCAAAAGAGACCCAGAATACTGCGAATGATTTAATTAATCTGTACAGATACATCGTTACCTACTTAAGAGACGTAAGAGGCGTCCATAACATTCTTTACTGCGTCAGCCCAGATAAATTCAAGACAAAAGATGACTACTTGAAAGTGTATCCAGGGATGACTTTGTTGATGTGCTCGGCACCGATTACTACTTCGTCAACGAGAATCAACCTCCTGTATCAGATCTGAAGAGAACCTTGGACGAACTGGTGGTGATTGCTGAAACCAGAGATAAAATCCCTGCATTGACGGAGACGGGAATCTTCAACAATGGTATCGATCGTGTACATAACTTCTGGAATGACCACGTACTGGACATTCTGAAGACCGACTCTAAAGCTGCAAGAATTGCTTATATTCTTACCTGGACTAACCATTGTTATGGTAACCACAAGTGCGAGCTCTGGATGCCTTATAAAGGTCACCCTGCAGAGTCGGACTTTAGAAAGAACTTCTTCAATGATCCGATGACTTATTTTGCTGATCGAATTGGTGGAATGTACAACTGAAAGAAATCATCAAAATAAAGTTATGTATTTATATATCAATTTATATTTGATCTTTATTTCTCAGTATTTGAATTAAGAAAATGACAACTAATATTATGAATGACAACTTCCGGTTACTGAATGAGCATCATTACAATGTAGATTACTACACTGTTCTCAAGAGGAAATATTCACTTGAGCTTTGTAGAAAATGACGGCAACTTTTCAAGAAATATTACGAATGTGACTTGACGTTGGATCGGGGCTTTGTTTCCTCTAGGTATTTCTTTAAAATATGTTTTCGGTCACTTTCTCTGGATCACTTATTTTTCAATTGTTTGTAACTGATGCTAACTTGTAGATGTTCAAGACTTATGGTAATTTAAGGAAAATATAGGTTAATGATTGATCTAAAAATGGACTATATGTGCAGTAAGTTAAAGAAAAAAATATTATTTTGTGTGAGTAAGTTAGCTGCTTTTAATGGCGGTAAGAACATTGATCCAGTTATATCACTGCGTGTAAGTCTACTGTGGAATGAAGGCTGGAAGAGACACAGGTCTCAATCGCTTGCCGCTATAGTGTAACTCCTTAAGGGCAGAAGACTGACCAGCAAGAAATCGGTACAAACTGATGTGCCAAAGGGAAACAACTCGAGTTCCGAAACCAACAAATTAGAGTGAGTTAGTTAAAACTGAACGTCACGTGGCGAATGTCTCAAACCATATCATGACGAAACAAGACCACAAATAACACATGTGTTTAAAGAGTAGTTTTAAGACCATTCAAAGTATTAAAATATCAATTAACAACACAATATTAAAAGGAGCTAGGAATCGCGAGAACCAAAGCTAGGCTGCCTAACTAGAAACTGTAGGGAGAAACCACTAGAGTTCTGACAGACAAAAATTTCTCACTGTGGCTGAATATAGGATTCGAACGATGATCAGAAGACATTTCGACAACTAGAGGACAAATCCGTGACGCGCCTTAGAATTCAACAGCTGGTTGTGGTTAAATAGACAACGATGAAGCATTTGCCCTAACCTAAGATGACCCGTCAGTTGTAGATATGAAATATAATCCGACCAATTTAAGAAATGTTTAAAAGCTTAAATGTAATCTTATCCAAACATATCCATATATAAATAACACCCAAATCGACTAAAGCGCACAAGACAGTTGCCTTGGAAGGATGGACGTACGGTAGGAAAATGTACTATAGTAGATAACTGTTTTAGAAAGGGGACAACGCGCATAATAGAGTTTTTAATTATTATCGTATAAACAGAAGTTTAATCAGTTTTACATGTCATGTATTATAAATAAATAAGGAATGACAAATTGGGAAATTTGTGCAAAGTTTACAAAGATGGTAGAACAATTTAACGGGTTCAATTTTATTATTAGTACCTCATTGAAGCATGTAGCAAACACTGATCGCTCCTTACATGCAGGGACGAAGGTGTCCAAGTTGTCTAACACACTGCAACTTTCTGTGCAGAGATTCGTCCACTGAGTATGACATTAACCTGTTAGTTAGTACCCCGGTTTCTCCACTGAGTATGACATTAACATGTTAGTTAGTACCCCGGTTCGTCCACTGAGTATGATATTAACCTGTGAGTTAGTACCCCGGTTCGTCTACTGAGTATGACATTAACATGTTAGTTAGTACCCCGGTTCGTCCACTGAGTATGACATTAACCTGTTAGTTAGTACCCCGGTTCGTCCACTGAGTATGACATTAACCTGTTAGTTAGTACCCCGGTTCGTCCACTGAATATGACATTAACCTGTTAGTTAGTACCCCGGTTCGTCCACTGAATATGACATTAACCTGTTAGTTAGTACCCCGGTTCGTCCACTGAATATGACATTAACCTGTTAGTTAGTACCCCGGTTCGTCCACTGAATATGACATTAACCTGTTAGTTAGTATCCGCCCCTATTAAGTTTCTAGGTTTGTCAGAACCACACCAAAGTATCGGCTGTAGAAGGTAGAAGGTGTTAAGCCTTGAAGGAGATTTAACCTCCAGGATATCTAACTGCCATGGTATCTCAGTGCGTTAGATCTACAATAGAAGCAACAAAAGCCTTTTCCACGTTCGTAAGAAATCTCGATTGTATCATTGTGACTATGTCATGGGCATATTTTTGTTTTAGCAGTATTACACCTGTACGATGTTGTTTGTAAACAAATCGAATACCACGTGACAATCCACTGATTGTCACAATGCGATACGATCACTGAACATGTGTTTATGAATCACTATGAAATAGTCATGATACCACGTGTTCAGGAAAAGGACAGGTTATGCTTCCCCACCGGAGGCACCCGTCATAAACATATACAGTCTAGTCAGTTGTTCACCAGATATGTATGGTACAAGTCAACATAGGGAATCGCATAGGACATCAATTTTGCCACTGACGCATCAGCACATGAATCACTGTGGAAGTCTGGACTAGTACTGACATACAAATACACATCCATGTACGGCGTTATATATGGTCAATAACATGGAACACAACTTTAAACCCAAGTGTAATCAGCCACACACACGTAAGTAAAATAATCTTAAATGCGACGTTAAACACCACCACCATTATGTCAAAATATTGTTATTTGTCAACAGGAACATACCAGTTATAGCTCTCGTCTTTCTCACAACGACGCAGTGTGAGCCAATTGATCAGCATGCTACTGTGGAGACTAAAAACCTGTACAAGAACATCAAAGCCATGGCTAGGAACTCCTCCAAAGTGATGTTTGGTCATCATTTTGACACAATGCTGGGGGCTCAAGGAGGGCATCCTCCATACCTGTTTCAGACGCTGACTCACGACGGCAATGTGCAAGGATACACCTTTACGGTAAGTGTTCAAAATATCAATGGGGCAAGAAGCTATCAATACTAAGGATACTCCGTGTTTTTCAAGGCATATCATACAAGAAAGTAATGGATAACAACTTCTTTATTATATATTTCTTATTAGTCACCAACTTCTAAATGCCAATCAAACAGAGCATATCATACAGTCAAACAAAAATGTATCGATCTTTGATGTCTCGAAGTATAACCTTGGTCCCTTTGTATGCTTTCCCTTGTCAGACAATCCAGTGATCAACAGCATGAGAAACAGAACATTACACCAACAACATATATATATATTTACTTTGTTCTCTTGTTGGACCCGAGGTAATACATCTATGCTATGCTAAATGTTGGTTCAGCCTTTTTGTACAAAGCGAGATTATTCGATACCAATATGAAGTTTATTTCCAAAAATGAATAATCCAGCCTGATTTCACTTCTGATGGTCCACGGTTAACAGTACATTATTACGTTTTAAATGTTACAGAGATGTTTGAATAAGACAGCTCATTAATTAAAATTACATCATCAATAGTTTACGTGCAGCGACTGTTTTCACCTGGCCAAATTAATTAGTGTGCTATTTTTATCTGCATTTTGGGAGGTCTGCGTTATGGGAGTAAACCATCACTGATTCCGCCTCCAAATTTCTTTCGGCTCCAAAGAGTTTCTTTTCAGCATATAAGGCTGGCTGTTCTCGAGCGTTCACAATTTTTGTGCTATTTACATTTGTCAAAAACTAAAGACCATGTATTTTATTTCAGGAGCAACAGGCTCTATCTGGCTATCCCGATGAGTTGTCTGACACCAAAGGTGTCACAGGACAATACCCAGCTGTGTCTAGTTTTGACTTTTCTCAATTTCAAGATTACCAGACCGTGACCACAACTTACCTCGCCAAGCTTGCTTATGCAAGAGGCCAAGTTATTACCCTTTCCCAGCATCTCAACAACCCCGTCACTGGTGGGTCTCCATGGGTGAAGCAAGATTCAGGGGACGTTCGTCATACAGTTAAAAGAATCCTTCCTGGAGGAGACCGTAATCAGAAATACAAGGAGAACCTGGATAAGATTGCTGACTGGGCTCTCAACCTAACCGACTCCAGTGGTAAACTAATTCCATTTATCTTTCGACCTCTTCACGAACAAAACGGAGGATGGTTTTGGTGGGGGCTCTCTACCCAGACTCAGAATACGGCGGATGATCTGAAAGATCTATACAAGTATATAGTGACATATTTACGAGATACACGAGGTGTCCACAATATTCTGTATTGCGTCAGCCCAGGCAGCTTCAAGGCTAAAGATGACTACCTCAGGGTGTATCCAGGAGATGACTTCTGTCGATATCATGGGCTCTGACCTCTACTACATGCATTCAAACCAGCCTCCAGTCTCTGATCTGAAGAGAACCTTGGATGATTTGGTGGACATGGCAGAGGCAAGGGATAAGATTCCAGCACTGACAGAAACAGGCATCATGCAGAATGGTATTGATTCTGTACATAACTTCTGGAATGACCATGTCTTGGACATCCTGAAAACCGATTCCAAAGCAGCGAGGATCGCTTACATCCTGGCATGGGCCAATCGTTGTTCTGGAAACCATAAATGTCAGCTCTGGATTCCTTACAAAGGACATCCTGCCGAAGCAGACTTTAGGAACAATTTCTTTAATGATCCCATGACCATGTTTTCAAACCAGATCGATGGCATGTATAACTGACAGTCGTTTGAAGAGAATACTATTTCTTATATTATTCCATTAATATTTCTAATTTTAATAATATCCAGGATATCGCTTTTGGTTAATAACAATAAACGTTAGACAGTCGATGATGTGGTGGTTATATTTTATAGGTAGTTCTGTACCTGTCAGTAACATCGAGAATGAGTTTGGTCTCATGCGAATCAACACTTTGTTGAAACCCACGAAAAGCCTGGCGCATAATAAGGCCATAAACTACGATCATAACCAGTAAATAAGCCGATTTAGCATCAATCCAAGACATAAAAACGTTAGAGTAATGTTTGTTTTTTGTTGTTTCTTGTTCAACTTTGCAAAGTTCCAGACATATGACGGCCGGCCTGTAAAAGATCACTCTGATTATGGTGCTGATGTGTGCACATTTAACTGAACTCAGTGTAATTTTCCAAACTGGGCCATATCCATTTTAGAAGA